TACTTGTACTCCCAACTTTGATTATACCTTTAAAACACTGTGACATGACACAAAATCTATAATTAGAGACACTACTTTGATCTAATTTGCTCATGTATTCATCAGGTATAGATGAGTAATTGATTGAAATGACATGAGGTATAATTTTCTCCAAAGTCAAATTCCAATTTAAAAAATATAACACCCAGAGTTTACTTTTATGCAACATCTGTCCACGGTGCTTTAGAACAATTTGATGACCAGTTTTCAATGTTACTATAAAGAAAGAAAAAGTGATTCAGATAAAAACACAATAGAATGTTAATTATAAAACAAAATAAAAGCAAGTATCTCAATAGAAAAATTACTCAATATGAGAAGGGTTTTCCCAAAGTGGTTGCAAAATTTCCCCTTTAAAAAAAATAGCACTTTGTGGAAGTAATCATATTTGGTATGTATAAAGAAATGAAACTAGATAATTTCCCAAGATTTTATATACATTCAAAATATAGCAGTTTGACTATATTAGTGAATATGTCCTTAAAAACACTTAAATAATATTGGATTGACTTGACACTATTTTTCATATTATTGAATTACATTTTGTAAATAACTGAACAATAAAGGAATAATTGTATCACTTACCTAAGGAAAAGAATTTCTAAAATGAAATTTAAAGCAAAAATTCATTTTAGAGTCATGAAATTTATTACTTGTTATATGTTATCATTTTTCCATTTGCACCCAAATATTTCTTGACAAACAGGATGGAATGATGTACTAAGTACGAAATTGCAGTGATGATGTATTCTATGAACTTTGTAAATGAAACCAAAAGACACATGGTCATATTTCCTAGTTTATAAAAGAATAATTATATCTTATTTGTAGGAAGAGGTTTCAAAAAGTGAGCTTCTGAAAGAATGTGTTTTAAGGTTCTCAGGTTTTAACTAATGGTAAGGCACTTATCTAGTATATTTGATGCCCTGGGTTTGATCCCCAGCATAGGAAAGCTTTAAATTAAAATGAATTGAAAATGATGACTAAAAGTCATTTTTAAAATTCTTGAAATAGGACTTTCTTAATTTAATGGTAGCTAAATTTATTCTTGACTAGAGACTTGCTTAATACTAATAAGAAATTAGCTAGTATCAAGACTTCAAGAAGAATTCCATTGGTATTAGTAGAGAATATTACCTGATTTATTGTTGAATATAGAGTAGAAAGATTGGCATAGTCATTTTAAGTGTGGTCTACCATCTAATATATTTACAAAACTACAGTAGAATATGTAGTCAAGAAGGTCACAAACTTAATGAGGGAAAAGGACTTCTACCTTAATATAAAAAGGAACCTTTGGCTTTTAGTAAACCATGAATGTGGATGTTTTAAAAAGTTAAAATTAAGTGCTATTCATTGACCACCATGAAATATGGATAATTGAATTTTTAAAGAAAGATTCTTTAAATTTTAAAAAAATTCAAAAAGTACATTAAAAACAAAAGTCTTAAATAAGGAAATCTTTTTTCCCATGACATTCTGACCAAAAGAATTGGAAGTATCATTCAATCACAAAAATGAGCTGAGAGCTGAGATGGGATGGGTACAAGTAGAGAGTTCACATGTTAAAATCTCATTATAGTTTTTAAAGTCTTTCTCAAAAGTAATTACTAGCAGGCAATATTTTACTAATACCAATTAAAAGCTCAGAAAGTAACATTTAAGAGAAAACACTTTGCTGTACCATTTTCAAATAGTTGTGAATGAATTCATGGATGATTTGATTTATTATTTTTTCAAAAATTAAAAACCAGAAAGATTTCTATACTATATTCAGACAGTACATGAAAGTAGATATGCTATGAGATAACCATGCAGTCTGAAATTCTCTTCAGTCAAATTCTGGATGTTAGCAATACTGTTGTTAGTTGGTAGTAACATTTTTCACTTGCAGGTAATACAAAGATGGAACACTAAGCTGAAAAAAATAAGGCCAAATCATGACCAACTCAGCAAGAAGATTTTGATAATTCTTGAGTCTATTCTCTCAGTTGTACAATCTAGTGCTAAGCATCATAGGTCTTTAAGAGGCATTTAAAGAAAAAAAAGAAAATAATTACTCTAACCCTAACCATCATCTACAAATTGTGCTCTTCACAACTGTGGCTGACAAAGAGTATCCAAGTGTGTTAGCTGTATCTGAATAACAGTACAAATGAGGCCAAGGCATGGGTTACATTGTTAAACCAGCATAACAAGTTATGCTTAAGTACATGGTACAAAACCACAAGAAAATTACTTTGTTGTGTAACACCCAGAATTTACCTTTCTGTAACATCTGTCCACTGTGGTTTAGAAAAATTTGATGACCAGTTTTCAATGCTAAGTTACTTTGTTGAAAATAGTATTCAGCTATCTTTACCTTTTACCCAAGAGATAGAACAACAGCCTTTGACTTCCCCCCTCTCTCTTTCCCTTCCTTTTCTTTTATTATGGCTGCAATTATTATGTATGAATTATGTCAATTGTTTTGAGGCTTTACCATATATCATATTTTACTCTGACTGTTCTTCAGAGTAGAAGGCGTTTATGCATTGTTGTACAAACTGTATTACTTTATCTGCTTGAGGACTATTATCATATAAACTTTATCTTTATTTTGATACAATACCAGAAAAGGTCAGAGTGCGGGGGTGGGGGGAGCAAAAGGAGTGTGGGATGCACAACAGATTTCTTTCCTTTTTGTAATATAATTTTTACTCTAATAATTTTATACCCGAAAGTCCTCATATTTGTAATGGTACAAGAACTCATTTATCCTTTGGTGTGTCACTTTGCTAACTACCTGTCTAGAGAATTTATGTTGTGTTTTATTTGTTTTGAGAAATTTTATTTCAAAACAAATAATAATCTGAAGATCAGAGCAACGAACTCAGGTATTTGTAATTTATTAGAAATAAATCAAAATTAGAGAAAAAATAAAAACAAGGATATAAGCTATGTAAATATGCTGAAATTCTGACAATGGTGATTCCCGTTATCAGGGTCTGAGTAGTCAATGTGCTTGGAAAAAGTTTGTCTTCAAAGTCCTTGTTATTTCTCTGGATGGGCTGCCTGACCTCTAAGGAAAGGCATCCAACTGATTCCATATATCTAAATTATATATTGGAAAAATCTGCAAGCTCCACCATCTCATTTTACAACATAATGTCCCCACCTATTAACAGACATAAAAATGTAAGATTTATATAAATAGAAACAAGATCTACTATTTATTATGATTATCTGTAACCCTGTAAGGTATACATTGCTATTCACACTTACAAATAGATACTGAAGTTTGAGATCCTATAGAGTATTTGTCCCAGGTGACATATTGGTGCAGAAATAAAATTCAGTTATAAGTTCTCCTGTTCCAAAGTCCTATCACATAACTGTTAAGCTAAAATATTGATAATATAAATACTGGAAAGTGTGTTTAGGTTATCACCTAATATGACTTAAACTTGTCATCATTCTTTGAGAAGAGATATATTTTTAAATCTGTGGATGAAAAAAAATTATATTTGTTGCATTCAAAAAAAAGTGAGCACAGGAGACAGAAAAGTTTCACTCCTCTACATAATCCAAGATGAGCAAAGATCAGAGTCCAGTTATGATATACCCATCTCAACTACACCAACTTTTGTCATACGGGAAGGGCTCCACTCTTACAGTAAAGAATTCGGGAAAGACCAAGGGACCAAGGACGCTCTCTTCCCATGTGGCACAAGAAACAAACACACTAAGCTAAAACACTATAATGTTTTAATGGAAACATTTATCTTGACATCTGGTGCTTGCTTTTTTTCTTTTTACAATACTAATACATATGAAGACATAGTTATTCCATATATTTCTTCAATTAGGATATAAGTGTTCTTAAAAGAGTTGGATGTGCTTTGTGAAATAAACACCAGCAATGAACAGATAAAATGACTCAATAATTGATTGGTAAGCACCACGTTAATTATGGAATAATTATATGCCCTGTGAATTATATAGTACTTATAGTTGACGTTATTTAGGAAACATAAGAAATGAACTTGTAATTTGTACTTACCAGATTTTGAGTCCAAACAACCAGTTAAGTATCCTGTTATTATATGAAAGTACTCTGTCATTAGATACCTGGTCAGTAATAACCATATAATTAGTTATACATATCATACTGCAAAGCAAAAAACAATTATATTATCCTTGGTATATACCAAGAAACAATTTATCAATTGAATACATTTAGGATGAGAACAAGAAAAAATGCATTTAAGTAAAGAGCGTAATTCATGCCTGCAATTATCCAATAAATGTTTTCATAGTTGAAGAAGCAGCAGCTTGACTGGCCCCTGCACATTATTCAGGTCTTTCTTGTTCAAATTTCACCTCGTCAGTGAGGTCGTTCTAGAGTTTCCTTTCTAAATTGGTCTGTACCACAAGCCATGTTTCCAAATACACCCTGTCCTAATATTCTGTTTAACATCATCATAATACTTTTCAATCTCAAATTGTGTGTTTTTAAAAAATATTTATCCTACCCGATACACAGAAGACCTATTTCTTTTCATTAGAGAAGATACATTGACTATTAAGTAACTCTCTTAGAAAAGGCAGCATTTCTGCCCAATACTAAATCCAGGTGTGTAGTATTTTTGTAGGCACGTGGGAACACACTGGAACAATCGTTGGCTAGTGAATGAATTACTGAGCATACATTACGTACAATGCACTTGATTACAGCTTAAAATAAGGCAGATTCTCTGTTGCATATTTCTTGCATGTCAGAATGCTGAATTAACACATCATATAAATTCAAAGTATTTTAGAAACATGTTTAATTTAAAAAACTAAATTTAATATTTAAATGTAAAGTTATCTCAATACTATGAAGTTGTTTTAGTCTGTTTCTAACCAACTCTGCTTCACAGGAACATATTTTGAATTGTTTAACGACTGCTTCTAACCATGAACATTTATTTTAACAGACAACCACATTAATTGGTCTTTTGAAGACTGCTCGACTCCTTCGTCTTGTGCGAGTGGCCAGGAAACTGGATCGATATTCAGAATATGGTGCCGCGGTTCTCATGCTCTTAATGTGCATATTTGCTCTGATTGCTCACTGGCTGGCTTGCATTTGGTATGCAATTGGGAATGTAGAAAGGCCATATCTGACAGACAAAATTGGATGGTTGGATTCCTTAGGACAACAAATTGGGAAACGTTACAATGACAGTGACTCCAGTTCTGGACCATCCATTAAAGACAAATACGTCACAGCACTTTATTTTACCTTCAGCAGTTTAACCAGTGTAGGATTTGGAAATGTGTCTCCTAACACCAATTCGGAGAAAATCTTTTCAATTTGTGTCATGTTGATTGGCTGTAAGTAGATTTCTCTTTTGCTATCTGTTAGGATAAAATGATCTCACAAATTGATTATCTTTAGAAGACTGAGAGTACAGCAATGAAAAGAAAAGAAAAATGTGGAAATAATAAGATTACATATATAGGTACTGCATTCTATCAAATTTGATTGTCTTTGTGAAGACACAAAACGTTAATTCTCAATCTCAGGAAATCATGGGTAAAAACTTGGTTACATAGGTCTAGAGATTCAGAAATTGAAACTCATAGTTCACTCAATGCTGTGAAAACAGATACTGTATTTGTAATTTATTACTAGTAGTTATTTTCTATTTCAAGCTGAGGCCAGGTTAAAATAGGCAATAGTAGCTCACAACACACACAATAGAGATAGGTAGGTGGATAGTTAGCTAGTAGGCACAAAGAGATGAAACACCACAATATAATTTAAACTAATCTTTCACATGTATATGAGATATATATTAAATATAATACTATGTATATTATATATGTATATATCATTCTACTGACAAAACACTACAATCATGGTTTAAGCTAATCTTTCATATATATATGTGAAATATATATTATATATAACACTATATATATATCATATAAATGTATGCATGTATTTTTCTCCTGACATTGACCAAATTCTTCCCCCTGTGACATTATGCCAAGATCTAAGTAACTGCTTTTTACCTTGTAATAGTCAGAAGCATTGTTTATTACATATATTTATTGGAATAAAATTTGCCTTTAAATGAAGATCTTTTAAGGTTAATATTTTTAAATTATCCTGTCAAACCACTTAATGTAACCTTAATGATACCAGGCAGCAATTGGTTAAAAAAAAAAAAAAGATTGATTTTTGCAGTTTCAAAAAGAGCATCTTCTTAGATTGCATACAAATTTGAAAATAGGTCCTGGTTATTGATTTTTAAATGTCAACCTACTGACTACTGAAATGTGCTTATATAAGACCTACTTATGAACCTCAAATAGATGTACCCAGTTTATTATCTTTTTATATAAAATTAACTTTTCACATATGTGTGTGCATGTGTGTGTATGCGTTAGTGTTTTTTACATAAAATTTATAAAAGGAAATAACATATTTGAATAACTCTTAAGATATTCTACAATTTCAATCCAAGTCTTGGTTACAAACACAGTTGCATTGTACCCAGAGGAAAATGGAAGTAGAGATTATTAAGAAAACATAGACATTCCTGTGTCAGAGAGACTGGATTTCTCAGCACACATAGTCCAACCATTTCGTAATTATACCTACTAGAATATACTTTACACTGGTTATAAACTTTAATGGCATATGTAGCAAACAAGGAAAAGAGAACAGCTTGTCCTTCATCAAACCATCACATAGAAATGCAGTTTTGGAGAAATTATATATCTTAAATTATGTTAAGAAAATAGAAATTGTATTTTGAAATTTAAGATTTTCAAGAAAATTTTAAAAATGCATTGAAATTTAGCCAGCTCTCTACTTATTTTCACCACTGTGAGCATTAAGTGAAATGCATAGTGCTATTTAGTATGTGAACTATTTTAAATTGAAGAAAGTGAAGTTCTTTACTTAGTATATAGCTAGTCTCTATTCCTTAAATCAAGATAATGGCTATTTGTTTCCTCTCCCTCCCTTTCCTTCCTCTCCTGCCCTCTCCTGTCCTCTCCTGTCCTCTCCTCTCCTGTCCTGTCCTGTCCTCTCCTCTCCTCTCCTCTCCTCTCTTCTCCTTTCCTCCTCTCTTCTCTTTCTTCTCTTCTCTTCTTTCTCTCTCTCTCTCCCCATTCTCCTTCCCTCTCTCTGTTCTGTTTCTTGCTCTACTTTCTCCTCCTTCTCTTTTTCCCCTCTACTTCCTTTCTTTCTGCCTTTCTTGCTTTTGTAAATATAGCACTAGATTATTTCTAATGGTTCTTTCAAAAGACGCCATGTTTCCTACAGATGAATTTCATCTTTATAAAACAGAATATACTCAATCATGTTGGGTACAGTAAAATAAACTCACATTCCACATAACATCATTTGTTTTCACAATGAGACTGTGTAAAGCTTAAAGTCACACAGGGAATTCTCTTATTCCTAAGAGAATTCTGCTATGACCTATGTGCCATAAATTAAGGAAAACAGTGAAGTTAAGACAAGAAACTGAATAATGGCAGGAATGTCTCTATAACTGGTTTGACTATTTGATATTCAGAGGTGTATTTGAGCCTGATAGTCCCAAGTAGATGCAATTATATTAGAAAATGATTTAATTTTCTTTCTTTGCTGTATTTATACACTAAGTAAGTATTCCTCATAACTGTGAGTGGACAAATATTGACCTAAAAATCAAAAAATCAAAAATGTAATGTAATATTGTATATGTGCTAATTATAACTATATTGAGTACCAGGTAAAAATGTTATTATTCTTGAGCTTTTTAAATCTTTACTTTGAAAGAAAACTTTCAAGCTCAACTGTACAAAAACTATCAGTTATCAATATTTTAGTAATATAACTCAAACAACTATAAATGAAATGCTAAAAACTGTCTTCTAAATTCAAATAATTCAACTATATATAAACACATTTTAAACCCTCTACTCAAAGTATATTTTTGATTTGTGCAAAAGCAGTCACCAGAGAATTCATTTTAAAAACATACATAATTCAAAATGAAAAATAAAGGTAAAGTTAAGCTATCAATAAATAAACATAAATATAAACTACTATTTTATGCCTGGTTTTCTAATACATAACAAAGTTCATACCATATGTGAATACTATAAATATCATGTATTTATTTAGTTTAAAATAACACACAAACTAGTACAAATAAAGGCAAGTGTCTTTATCTCAAGCCTACTTAACAAGCAAATTAGGAGCATTTCTTTGTTTTTATAGCATGCAAAAAACTGTGACTGGTACTCTGCTTCTAGCCAAGATGGTGCAATTGGAACTTTATAAATCTTCTGTTGAGCAAACAAACAAGCTGGGTGTGGTGGCACATGCCTGTAATCCCAGCACTCAGGAGGCTGAGGTAGGAGGATTGTTGTGAGTTTGAGACCAGCTTGGGCTACAAAGTGAGCTCAAGCCCGGCCTGAACTGCATAGCCAGACCCTGTCTCAAAAAGACAAAACATAAAACAAAACAAAATAAACAAACAAAATAAAAGGCAAAAGGAAACAGAAAAGTAAACAAAGTACATAAAGTAGTTGTATTCAGATACTGAAAATCAACATGGAATTGTGATGCCTGCGAGAAGGAAAGGGAGCAAGAGGGCCCCTTGCTGTCCTGCCTGAAGGTATCTTCTGGAGGGTAGTGAAAAATGAAGAGAAACACAACCTAAATAGACCAAAGCTGTCTTACTGAATTAAGCAAACAAGATCAGAGGTCATAGAGGTGCCATCCCTGGAATTTGCAATACAGACAATAAGAGAAGCGATAATGAAGAAAAACTCAAAGATATTTATGGGTGTCCCCTTGAGTCTACTGAGAAATACTAAGTCACAAGTGCATGAAGTGAAAGTCCCCAAAGCCTAACAAAAAGTACAAGTACAGGGTGTTGAACAAGTTCAAGAGTTCATATCAGTATGGAAAATAGTCAGATTCAAACCAGCAGCATGGAAAACTCAGACTGAATATCCAAAATATTCAGTGGACTCTCAGGAAAATAATACCGTGTGTAAGGGCTAATCTAGTCCTTACAATAGATTAAAAACCAAACATCGAAAGGTATAACTTATTGTGCAAATGATCCAACTACCTGCAAGAACAATGTCTAATGTCTAAGGATTATTTTTGTACAGTACACAAAAGCATAGGAAATAAAAGCAAAAAGAATGTGATTTCATGAAACTAAAATATCTTCTGCACGGCAAAGATAACAATCAACTGAGCAAAGGAAGCAATCTCAAGAATGAAAATATTTACAAATATTCTATACTTCTGAAGAGTTAATATCTAACATATATAAAGAACCAAAAAAACTCAATACCAATCACAGCAACAAGAAGCAATAGATAAAAAGACATTTCCCCAAATAAGACAGACAAATGGCTAATAAGTATAAGGCAAAGTGCTCAACAGTAAGAATGACTGTTATCAAAAAGATACAAAAGATAAATACTGGTAAGGATATGGTGAAAAGAGAACTCTGAGCACTGTTGGTGGGTGTAAATAAGTGCACTACTATGAAAAATAGTGTAGAATTCTTCAAGAAATTAAAAATGAAACTACCGTGTGATTTAGTAAAACTATTATTAAGCATATAGCCAGAGGGAATAAAATCAGTATGTCAAAGAGAAACCTGCACACCCATGTTCACTGCAGCATGATTTACAATAATGGAAGGAAAAAGAAATGGAATTGGAAACAACCTAAGAGTCCATCGATGGATAAATGGAGGATGTAAGGCATGTATATGCCATTCAGCAATGTAAAAGAATGAAATTCTGTTGTAACAATATAAATGGAATTGGGGATGAAATAAGCCAGGTGCAAGATAAGTATCTATCACTTATATCTAGAATATAGCAAGTTGATCTCATTGAAATTGTGACTGGCTTGTTGCTTACAAAGCTAGAGATAGAGAGCATGAAAGAGAAACGGGTAGGATAGAAATGAATACTAAGCTATGACCAGGGATAAGAAGTTGTGATGTCTAGTGTATTGTAAAGTGGCTGTTGTGTACTATACTATCTCAAAAAGCTAAAAGACAGGATTTTGAATTTTTTCACCATAAAAATGTTAAATACTTGAGGAAATAGAGATGCTTAACCTGATTTAAATGATGTAATGCCTACATATAGCAAAACATCATATGGAATCCTATAAATTGCATAGGTTTTATGTTTCTTTTTTTTTTTTTTTTTTTTTTTTTTTTTTTTTTTTTTT